CTTCTGTAACCCCAGCACTGCAGAAGCAGAGACAAAAGACCCCTGGAGCTTGCTGACCAATCAGCTAGACTCTATGGAGAGCTCCAGGTTCTATGAGAGACCCTGTCTCAAATAATATGGTAAGGAGTGATTAAGGAAGACCTCCTACATCTACCTCTGACTTATATATACACATTCCCATATATACATACATACATACGTGAGCACACAAACACATTTGCGTACACCATACATACACACACACATGCAAAATAAATAAATATATTAGAACTTAAAGGATGGGCAGAATATGGATAAAGTCAAACTCAGATGCTCTTCAACAAACAGTGGGATTACATATCTATAAAAATATCATTTAAGGGGCTGGAGAGATGGCTCAGCAGTTAAGAGTACTGACTGCTCTTGCAGAGGACCCGGGTTCGATTCCCAGCACCCACGTGGTGGCTAGGAACCATCCTTAACTCCAGATCCAGGGGAATCTGAAGCCCTCTTCTGACCTCCATGGCACTGCACAACACAGGTGCACTCACAAACGTGCAGGCAGTACACACATACACATAAAATAAAAATAATAAAATATTTTTAAAATACCATTTAAGTTAAAAATATCACAAGTGGAAACTAGGTAGGTATGGTGGTGACTATAATCCTATTGGGAGGTGGAGGCAAGAGGATCAAGAGTTCAAGGCTAGGCTTGGCTATAAATCAAGTTTGAGACCAGCCTGGGCTACATGAGACATTGTCTCAGAAATTCAAAAAGAAAATATCACATGTTGAAAGTGCATTTAATAACCTACTGAACATCACAGCTTAGCAACACAGTACATGTAGAGTACTGGCTCTTTACCTTCGTGATCTTTCACAACTTGCTGCAGCTGCCAAACATCACAAGAAAGAGAATCATACCACACAGAGCTAGCTAATTTGAAGGTCAGCATTCCAAATTCCAAGTATGGAGTGTAGCTCGGGGATAGAGCACTTGCCTAGCATGCAAGGCTCTGGTTCAATCCCTAGCACTGACAAAGGAGAGCAGGGAAATGGCAGCGTGCAGAAGTCAAAGTACTTAAGAAACTGAGGCAAAAAGATCACAAGTTTGAAAAGCCAGCCTAGGCTTACACAGAATTACACAGAGTCAGCCTGAACAAATCACAGCATTTGTGAAAGGGTTTTTCCTACATACACTATACCACTGTCACCATCAATCCAATTTTGAAGACACTTTTGGAAAAACTTCTAGAAGTTTTTCTTTCATTTTTAAAAGATTTCATTTTATGGGCTGGCAGGGTGGCTCAGCAGGAATAGGCACTTGCTCCCAAGTCTGATAAGTCTGATAACTTGAGTTTGAGCCCCAGGACTCAAACTGCTACCACATGCATGCTCACTCACATAAATAAACACATACACACTAAATAAATAAATAAACAAATAAATAAATGGAGGCCAGAAGAGGGCACCAGGTCCCTCAGAGCTGGAGTTACAGGCATTTGTAGAACACCCAGCTTGCTATAAGTGTGCTGAGATTCAAACTTTTGTCCTTGTGACTACACAGCAAGTACTTTTATGTTGAGCCACAACCCCAGTCCTACAAGTAAGCTTCTTGAGGATAGAGGCTTCTTGACTACTCTATTTCTGAATAGAGTTCAGGGCTAAAGACACAAGTCCCCAATCAACATGTTAATCAATTAGTCCTCGGCAAATACACAGCAAGGTATACACAATCAATAGTCCCCTTTAAAAAAACATTCTATTATTTTTACTTTATGTGTATGAGCCTGCATATACAGAAGAGCACCATGTCGTGCAGTGCCCATGAAGTCAGAAGAGGGCACTGGGTCCCCTATAACTGTACTTACAGACAGTTGTGATGTGCCAGGCAGGTGCTGGGAATTGAACCACCATCTTGTGCAAGAGCAGCAACTGCTCTCAACCTCTGAGCCTTCTCTCCAGCCCCAATTAAAGTCCCTTTAATACTACATACCTAGAAACGTTAACCCATTGCTGAAGCTATTTTTGCTGACAAAGTTCCCAACTACCTAGAAAGTATTTAAAATACAAAATACTCATCAGAAAAAGTTTAGGAATAATCAAAAATAATATATGCTGTCCAGGCCTGGCAGCACAGGGCTACAATTCCAACTATTACAGGAGGATCGTAAATTCAAAGCCTGTCTAGGCTATAGAGTAAATTCAAGGTCAGCCTACTCAACTTGGTGGAGACTGGTCTCAAAATAAAAAGTAAGAGGGCTAGGGCTACAGCTCAATGGTACGGCACTACTTTTATAGCTGTGTAAGTTCTAGGTTCAAATCCCAGTACTGTCAAGAATAATAATAAATGGGGGCAGGAGAGATGACTCAGCGGTTAAGAACACTGGTTGTTCTTACAGAAGACCTGGGTTTGAATCCCAGCACCCACATGGCAGCTAACAACTGTCTGTAACTCCAGTTCCAGGGGATTTGATGGCCTCTTCTGTCCTCCATGGGCATTGCATGACACGGGTGCACTTACCTACATGTGGGCAATACACACATATACATAAAATACAAATAATAAATAAAATATTTTAAAAAAGAATAATAAATGGACACTAGCTAGTCTCCCCTAAAATTAACAAATAACCTCGATTGTGGGTATAAAGTCCCTCTATTCACCTAATCCATCTATTTCCCTATTTTCCTATATTACTATTCCGTATCTTCTCCCTCAGATTTCCAAATGGCCTTCCTCTTCCACTCTCTCAGCTGATGTCTGATTTCTATTTCCTCTTTAGCCATCACTGTGGTTCAGTCTTCCTCAGCAGGGGTTTTACAGAACTGCCCCACCCTGGGGTGCGGAGTAGGGGAGGAGAGGATTTTACAACTCTCCTACACGGTGAAATGCCCCAGGGGTCAGTCACTTCCTTTCAGAGGACCACTTACACTTTTATAACTCCCATTTATATCTTCAGCTCAGCTCGAACTGCAGAGATTGTTTTACATACTATCACATACTGGCTTTGCCATTTGGGATTTAACATGCACAACTGAAAACCAATTTCACATCTTCCTCCTCTCCCCAGTTCTCCACCGTCTTCTCCATTTCACTTAAGTGGCAATTATGTTCTTTAGTTGCTCCCAGCCACAAACCTTAGAATCACCCCTAACTATTCTTCCATACCTGACTGCTCTAGTTTAAAGCAACCACCTCCACTACTAGCACACCAGATTCAAGCCACCTCGACCTTTAACACAGATAAATATTCTTATTTCTGCCCACTCTGCTCAGTCAACATAACAATCAGATCATTTTAAAACCCAATCTGGATCAATTTGCTCCTGACACAAACCCATCTCACTAAAAGTTCTTACAAAGTCCTGCAGGACCCTATACAACCTTGCCCCATAGAACATTCCTCTTCCCCTTTGCTCAATCTTTTTTAGTCAAATTAGCTAGTACTCTCCCGTTTCAGCTTCTGTGGCAGCGCCAATGGATTGTTCTACAGGGCACCTTTTATCACTTTTAGGACTTCAGTCAAATATCTTTTCTATGGCCACAGCTATGATTTCCTGCCCACACTACCAACTTTACTCATTCTCTTTCATTGATTTATCCTTTCTCTAGCACTTTATATCCCGACATACACTTTAATTTTTCTATCAATATCTTCTCATTCCCAATCCCAAACTTCACAATGGCAGGGGCTTTTATTGTTTACTGTTCTATCCAGTGCCTAGAACAGATCAGGTACTCAGCATTTGTGAAATTAATATACTGAACCTACACTTGGTATGTTTATGCTATTCTAAAACTCCATAGAGTCCCATTCTACCTATTTTTTCACAATTCTAACTATTGTACCTTTGGAGGTCAAAGATACATGTTTGTTTGTTGTGATTTTTGGTTTTGTTTTTTGAGTCAGGGTCTTACACTGTAGCCCAGGCTGGCCTCCAACTCAGTGCACTCCTACCTCAGGATCTCAAGTGCAAGGATTATAGGTTTGAGCCACCAGAATCAGTTGGGTTTTGTTTTCTGTTTGTTTGTTTGTTTGTTTGTGTTTTGTGATGCTCAGGATTGAAACCAGAGCCTTGTGCATGCTAGGTTGTTTTGAGCTTTAGTGGGTTTTGTTTTGTGTTTTTTGAAAGGCTTGTGCTCCTCAGGATGGCCACTATGTTTCTAAAGCTGGCCTGACCCTCCTACCTCCACCTCCCCAGGGAGTAAAGATATGGGCCACCAAACTGGGCTCAGAGGACAAGTTTAGCTTAGTGTAAAATTCTAACACTGTTCACAACTGCTAGCCCCAGGCCAACATCCTCATTTTCAAATTCAAAATTCAACAGCTCCCACTAATGAAATCACAAGTATTTCGGTTAGACCCAAGTACACAGAATCAAGGACTCAAGAGATTTACCAGGTTAATTCTTAAAAGCTTTGAATATTCAGCTGTTTGATAAATCTCTGGGTTCTGATTCCTGAAATCATGCTGTGCTTCCTAGAAAAATGCTAAAAAGCCTCAGGAAAAAAAAAAAATGTACAGCCAATCCAGTTCCTAGGTTCCTCAAGTTTGAGTATGCTTTGGAAATGATCCGAACAAAGTATAACTAAAGCAACGAAAGTGTTCTACCATCAGAAAATGCCTTAGTTAGCAATATATCACTGTTATTATTAAAATGCGACTTAAAGAATGGCATTGAAGACAAACTGCCTGGAGTATAAATAATGCGTTAGGGTAGAATCGAAATGCCCCGAAATAATTACGATCTTCCATGAAAAACGCAGGTCCTGAACTTGAGCCTCCGACCCGACGCTACGTTTCCTACCCAGGTAAGGACCCGACACACTACCCAAAGGGACCGGCAGGCTGGCCCAAGGCTCCGGGGGCGGTGTCTCGCCAACCCCACCTCTCCCCGGAGGAAGCACCTTCCTCTCCAGCGCCCTGCCCTCTCCAGACTCGCCTTCCTGCCCCAGCCCTCTTCGGGCCACCCTCCGACACACTTCCTCGCTCCGGGACGTACACAAACCCTACCCGAAGTGCCGTCTCCCTCTCCGGCTTCCCGCCGCGGTGAGGACGCTCAGCGCCCGCTCTGCCTGCCTGACACACACTGTCTTGCAGAGGCGCGGGAGCAGCAGTCCGGACAGCCGCGCAGCCGCAGATCGCACCGTCGCGGAGGTCGCAGCCGAGCCCTGCGGGCACTTCCGCCCTCCCGCAGGTAGTGATCACTGGCGGCAGCGCAGCGGAGCCGGGGAGCCCACCAAGTCCAGTCACCCTCGGCGCCCGGAGATGACGTCACGGAAGCACACGTGGCCTGCACTCCGCCCTCGGAGTTCTGCCCAACCCGGCAGGGCAGGAGTCAGTCCAGAGCTTGCGCAGACGAATCCTGGCGCCTGTAGGCAGAACACAACCTCTCTCAGTTCTGAGGTTCTCTGCTTACAAAGAGTCTGGCACCAGAACACAGGCGTTTGTGTTCCGGCATATTACTGTGACAGTTCGAGAAGAACAGAGAAATAAAAGATCTTGAGACAGCGACTGCGGTGTTCGCGACAGCTTTCCCTGTCGTCACAAAACAGCATTATCAAAGCGTTACTTTTTAAAGAGTGATTTGGGAGCATTGTTTCTTTGGTTTTAAGACAGGGTAGTTCAAGCTCGCCTCCAATCCAGGACAGTCCTCCTACCTCACCCTCTCACAGGTGTGAGTCACCACACCTGACTTTCCAAAGTAATTTCACATCCATTTTCTCAGTTGATCTTCTCAACTCATAGAGAACCACAGTAGGCATTAATGTTTATAAGTAAGCCAAGACGACTGAAGTACTGAACCCTCCCACATTCATCCAAGAGTACCCATTATCATCTTGCTTCTGAAAATCAGTTAATAAACTTACTCTTAAAAACTACTTGACTGGATCTATGCAGAAGTCTTACCAGTCTTTTAAAGGTCGGTTTGTTGGTTTGTCTGGTGTGTGTGTATGTGTGTGTGCCACGTGTGTGCAGGTGCCTGAGGAGGCCAGAAGAGGGCACTGGATCCCTTGGACCTGGAATTAAAGGCAGCTGTGAGCAGCCCAAAGTGCATGCTTGGAACAGAACTTCAGTCCTCTGGAAGAATAGCAAGTGCTACTAATAGCTGAGCTGGGGTTTTTTTTGGTTTTGGTTTGTTGTTTGGTTTTTAGTTGTTGTCGGGACAAGGCCTGACTGACAAACTCTGTGTAGCCAGAGATGACTTAACCCCTGATCCTCCAATATGGTCTTGAATTTATCATGCTCCTTTCTCAGCCTCCCTAGTGCTGGAATTTCTGACATGTGTCACCAACACCTTGCTTTGTCAGCAGCAGCGTAGTACCACCAGAAACACTTCTCTAGGGGCAGTGCTGCCCATGGCAGCCTGAGGAGTTCTTTTCAGTCTTCTATTCAGGGAAGGCCAAGGTTCCTGACTACATCGCAGAGAAGAATTTCAGAATGAGTCGATATGAAGCAGAGTTGGAGCTTATTAAGAAAACAATTTTAACATAGATTTAAGCACAGAGTTAAGAGAAAGGCATTTGGAGAAAGGAGAACATAGCCATCTGTGAATGTGACCTTTCCAGAGAATGATGCTTACTATCTTTAACAATAGACAAATACATGGTTTTGGTGACTCCTAAAGTTACATTATTTAAAGGATTTCTAAAGTACTCCTTCCCCCTTTTTTCTTTCTTTTTCCAGAAATGAGACCATAGAATGATTCCCGAGATATGTTGCACAGGATGATAGTTGATAAGGCATGAGGGATGCAGAAGGGAGTTAAGACATGTTTTTATTGTAAATGAAGTTTATAGTCTTGTTTGTGAGACCCCCAGAAAATTGTAGGTTCACTTGTAAGAATACGAGACCATACTAGAAAATCATAAAACTCCGGCCTTAAACCTGGCTCATTTGCTATTATAATATTCTTATTTGAATACCTCTGTATACAAGGAAAATTGTTTCCATGTAGGCAATCTTCACAGCAAATTTTATTAATTGTACTGGACTTCCTAACTTGACAAGAGACTTCAACCAGACTCTGGAATGCAGAGGCTCCTTTTCCTTTCCATGTCTCCTTATTTTCCTGGTCTTTCTATACTGCCTCAACTCCACAGGATTGTTTTCAAAAGAAGAATCTTCTCAGAGGTTAACAAGTGTAATGGCTTTCAGACAGTTGATTACCATCCATTGGCAGCTCATCAAGTGAGTGGGTCATGACTAATATATCCAGCATATATTAATTATATAAAACAATGGGTTTCAATATAAAATTTCCATACAGATATATTCTGTTTTGATAGTTTCACTCCCTTTACCCTATCTTGTCCCCTCTTACCCTCTGATCTCCTTCCCAATTGTCCCTTTCTACTTTTATTCCTTTTTTTTTTTTTTTTTTTTTTTGAGACAGAGTCTCCCTGTAGCCCCAGCTGTCCTGAAACTCACTATGTAGACCAGGCAGGCCTTGAACTCGCAGAGATCCGCCTGCCTCTGCCTCCCAAGTGCTGGGACTATAGGCATGCACCACCACGCCCAGCATCCTTTTTTTTTTATTATTATTACTGAGTTTCATTAGAGGTGCTTACAAGGGCATGGGTGAGGGGTTGTCTACAGGAGCATGGGCACCTTGCCAGTGGCTACACCACTGAAGACAATGTCTCTTCCTTCCCCCATCAACTATTAACGCCATATACATCCTCAGGGAGGGCTGGGGCCTCATGAGCCCCTCTCCTCTCCATGTCAGGATATTGACAAACCCAATCTCGTGAAGATTTTGTGGTGATCACAGCTGCTGTGAATTCAAGAGTGAGCTATGTCATGCTTAGAACATTCCATGCCACTCCCCTACTCTTCCTTCCTCTATTAAATCTTTCTTCCCCTTCTTCCATCATGTTCTGTATGTCATAGAGGGGTAATATCTCATTTATGACTGAGCAGTCACTTATTTTCAATGTTAGGAAGAAGAGTTGCAAGTAGAAAATAAAGCAACCAACCTCAACAATCCAGATTGACCTGTGTTATAGCCGTGAGAGCTGAGAGCTGACTGGCAGGAATCCACACAGTAGCCATGCTGGTCAAGTGGCAGGGAAGTTTAAGTATGTTCGAGTGTGGAGAGAGTGTTTATAGAGATTGGGTAGTAGTGTTTGTAAAGGACTTAGGGCCCGCATTGTTTGGAAGGACATGTTTGCAAAACAGAATCTGTTGATGCTTGGGGCTGGTAGGTTCTAGGGCTGTATTTCCAAGCAGGGGCTAACAATGCTCCAATAAGGCCCGTCAGTAAGACTGGTGATTTATGACTAGTCAGAGTGGTTTTGACCAGTTATAAGTCTCTGTAGTTAACACTGTCCATTGCAAAAAGAAGTTTCTCGAACCAAAGTTGGCAACAACACTGATGTATGGACATAAGAAATTTAATGCATACATTATGACCATTTAGCAAAATAAAGCAGTAGCCTCCTTATTTGAGCCTATGACCTACCCAACCATGGGCTTTTAGCAAGGTTTACAGTACCAGGTGTGAAGTCCCTCCTGTGAGGTGAACTTCAAAACCACCCAAAAAGCAGTTGGCTACCTCCATAACAGAGTTGTCACTATTTTGCCAGTAGCAACATCTTGCCTGGCTGGTCAATAGTGTTGCAGGCTGGGTCCACAGCCGAGTAATACTGTTGATGATAATTCTCCCCTAGCAGCCTGCATAGCACTTTCCAGCACTATGAAAACTAGCCAACAGAAAGGAAACTTCCAGTCCAATTCCAGCATAATTTCTCTATGTCTTATGTGTGACTAGAGCATGTTGTGTCTTCAACAATAGGGACTTTCCATCTAATTCTCACGGACAACCAACATCAGTGGCAATTACCTGTATTGTTTGAGTTGGGGGGACCTAGAGACCTCCCTGGCTAAAAATTCAAGGATGTAGCCCACCCGTGGCACTGAGATTTTCATTTAATAACCTATGGCTTCTGGGAGCAGATTTATCCATGCATGGCATTCTAATGGCTTTTTTCCCCCTCAATTAAATAAACAATTTCAGAATGTGTGATGTGTCTAAAAAGTAAAAATTGCTTCCTGAAATTTTTACTTCAGTATATATGCAGTGTGCACTGGGTGGGGATAATAAACATATTTCTTAGTATGAATACCAGTCCAAAATTGGAAAGCTATAATTCTCATTCACTTCACCTACTCAAAGCAGAAATTCTCACTAGATTATCCCAAATAATCAGCTACCAGCCTCTTTAAGAGCACTCCTGGCATAGAGGCACATCATCTAAGTGATCCTCCTGTCTCAGCCACCTTAGTGCTGGGATTACAGGTATGCACCAACCACTGAAACAAGCATTTAGAAACTACTTCTTTCAAAAAAAAAAAAAAAGCACCAATGCCTGCCTCACTTGGGCCCACAGGTAAATAAAAGCAGGATGAAAACCAGGCACCTCTGCCTTTATTTTGTGTCTGTACTTTAGCTAAAATCACAGAGCTAAGTCATTGCTCTTTACCTTTTCCTTTGAATCACTTTGAATTCCAGGAGTGCAAAACTTCTTGGGGCAGCCCACTCCCTGCCCCAGATGAGGACAAATAACCAAAAGGCTTCACCTCCCACCCTCAGCAGAATTAATCATTATGCAGAAACCATATCTGACCACCTTGAAGGACCAAACTGGAACAATGATTAAAAGAAGTTACACAGGGACCAGGGTATTAATTATCATACCGTTCCCCAACTACCACCACTTTTTCCTCTTTTTAAGCCTAAAGCTCATATCAGTAACCAAAAGGTGGACTTGGGGCATCACTGAATTGACCTATTTACTCTTCTTCCCAATGTGGCCACATTGAGCAAGTCTCTTTTCTCTGCTTTCCACTCTTACTATTTTAGAGATTAATAGGCTTGGAGGCCATTGAGGGTGGACTCCTCATGATCTGCTTTGGACACCACCCCTTATTTCCATGGTAACACTAGAACTTTCACAACTGCCCTTCCTTAGGATTTAAAATACCATATGAAAAGATGGGGGTATCAGGGTTTTGTTGAGGCCCATTAAGGGAAAGCTTCTTCCTCTTGGTCAAAAGAATGAAATCTGAGTTCTGCCTCTGGCCCTCAGTGGAAACTTGACATCCTCGTCTGCACCAAAGATTAATACTTGACATTCTATTGTCTCCTCCTTTAAGAGTTAATCCAGCTGGTCCTGTCAACCACCTAGGCAGACTGCCCCTCAGGAAAGCTGATTCACCTGAAGATATGCTAAGAAGATGG